AAATTATATTATATGATAGCCCCAGTGTAGGAAAACATAATAAAAAAAAATATGTGCAATTTAGATTTCTCGTTGTGTCACAATTAGCATTTGAATTTTAAAAATATTTTTAATAATTTTTAAGTGATCAGATACTTTTGACCGGGGAGTGTAGGTTTTTATTGAAAATTGCAAAAAGTAAAAATAATCAAACATTGGTTAGAATTTATCTTTTAGCAAAAATATATATGTATCATGATTTTATTGGTAAAATTATTATAAATAATAAATGATATAAAATATTATATCCGATTTATTATATCCCACAAACTATTTTTGATAATTATGATTATTCAATAGCTTATTGATTGGTTTGGTGAGAAATCCGTGATTAAGTATTGAAAATAAACTATTTTGTTTAGTTTCTTAAAAAAATCCTGACCATAAGAAATACCATTCCAGTTTTCTCCATCATCTTAATTAACATATAAATGTCTGTAGCAGATTTATAGGAATCAGCAATGACTGGATTAAAGATATGAAGTATATTACTGTGAATGGCCTTCCCATGACACTGTGCAAATTCACCTGCATCTATTACATAGAAACAATTATTTCGTTCTATCACATTTTGGCCAACGTAAGTCCACTATACACCAGTCTCTTTGATGAACATTATAAACACAATGAACAATACAGTACATTGCAATATGTAATTTTCCAATTGAATCTGGCTTCCTATTACTTACACCAGAATTAAATGTAATGCTAACACTTCAGATTCATTTTTGAACTTGGTCATATGTTTCACTACGGTTTCCAAGTATTTTATTCCATTTGTGATGTTATATAATAATTTAACTTTAATATATAGAAAATTACCAATGCAATAATATTAAAAACTAACAATATAATTAAATGTAATATTTTAAGATAAATACAATCAAAATAGAACCCTTTTTATATCTTCCTTTCCCATTCCAATATACACCAGTCTGCTAAAAGTATCTGGACAGCTGTTTTTTATCAAATTTTTTTAAAAATTTCAAGGATGAATTCTGCTACAATGAATAATTTAAATTACATAAACTTTTTTTTAAAAGAAATTCCGAATTAAAGGCTATTGTATAATATCTTATTTATTCAAATTGGATGTCTATTATACGTATTGCCCAAATCCCAAATTACTAGTATTTGGAATTTGGGATTTGGGATTTCGACAAAAAATACTAATCATAATTTAGGATTTGGAATTTTGACATTTGAATTTTGAATTTGGATGGCAGATATAATGTCTATTTGTTTTAAAATCTTGTCTTAAATAAAATTTACCAAAAATATTAAATTAAATTGTTAACAGAAATCTCTTTTGATTTCAGTAACTATCTACTGGAAATACCTATTATCTTATAAAAAGTTATAGCCCTATACTAAATTTATAACTTTTATTAGTATCATATTTTATATTTCCTAGTTAAAATTAGAACTTTACTTAAAAAATGATCAAAATTATTGTTGATCATTTACTGTTTAAAAAAAATTATCAATCGTTGTTACATATAAAACATTATTTTATACCAATAAAATCTTAAAAAAAAAAAACTCTCTCCTGCATCTGACAAAATCCAAAAAAATAAATAATTCAAAAATTCAAAAATCTTATGGACACAAGAGACGAAAAAATTTTTTTAGGAGTTCAACCTCCTGAAGGAAATACTTCGACATCAAAAGCTTTAGAGTCCTCTTTTTGAAAAACCAAAAAACAAACAAAGTTACGAAACATGACATTTTCAGAAAAACTACTACACTTATAAGAGTCCTAGAATTTCCTACTTTTTTCCTTTTCACAACTTATAAACAACAAAAACATACTATTTTCACAGAAAGCATTATCGATAACCCGGAATACGCAGTGCTGGTTACCTTTAATAGTATTAATATCTCTTACAACACAAGAAAATTTACAGCTGTAGCTCAAACCTTTGACATTATTCCTTCTTACTTACAACAAAAAAGAATAAAGCAAGTGACGAATAGTATGAATAACATAACACTCAACCAAGAAGACCAAGAACTATATATCAATACCATTAATTCAATAGAAGAAACGATTATTTTAGAAGATACAAACTGTATTTTACTAAACATTTCTTCTAATTCTTCTCGCAAAAACTCTTCAGCACCTCCAAAAAAATGCGTAACTCTCTCACCTCTTAAAAATGATCAGCAGACAAATAATTCAACTGACAAACAAAGAACACCAGTTATGTGACGTGACTATGAAATACAAAACTGGTTAATATGCAAGAAACACAAAACAAACATGCAACCAACACAAATACAATACCAATAACAAGACAAAGATTTTTAAATATGATAATTAATAATACACAAAATCTAAATCCAAAAAATGACCTAGAAACTTCTATTCATAATTTAACACCAATCACAATAAACAACTATACACAATATTTGACTAAACCCAGAAATGCTTTAATACTGTTAAACTACTTAACAAACTCTAAAAGAAGTGAGGTTCCTTTTGAAAAAGAAGCGTTAAGGGCTTTCCTTTTGCAATATAACAAAGACAAAGCCATATTTCGTAAACCACTGAACAATTTAGAAGATGCTCCAGACCATATAAAAGAATAGTTGATACTATTAAAAAAAGAAATTATACAATTTAAAGACAAAAACAACATTAATAACGAAGAAACTCTCTCACCTCAACTTCATAGTGAATTACGAGATCACTTGAGAATGAAAATTATGTGGTACTATCTATACAGTATAGATTTCTCAAAAAATTAGGAAGGAAGAAACATGGCTCAACTCATAATATACACAATCAATTTCATCCTACCGCTGTCACCGGTGGTCCTGGGTTTTCTCAAGAACCACCCAATATAGTGACTTTACGGTTCTTTTAAGGAGTTTATAGTCCTTTTCCGATGTCACCGGTGGTTCCTGGTTTTCTCAAGAACCACCTGATAGAGTGACTTGACGGTTCTTTTAAGGAGTTTATAGTTCTTTTCTGAAGGTAAAACTGTTGTTTCATCATTTTAGAAGGTACAACTGATTCAATTATTTTAGAAAGGGAATCAGACCTTTCATCTATTTTATTCCAATATCTCTTTAAATTCGTCATCATCTTTAATGTTTATCCATTAATCATCTTTTAATTTCTTCAATTTTAAATATTATTTTCAATTATCCAGGTTAATCATTATTCCAAGTTCAGGTTTATAATAATAGTTTATAATTAATTTCATTAACTCAGGAATAATAATATTATACAATTATACAATCAAGTATTT